TCCTCACTAAAAGAGATTATTTAAAATAAATAAATACAGTGGTCTAAGTTTTATTTTATTTTGAAAAACTGCAGTTCAGGTGCCTAGTTCAAAAAAGAAAGCAACAATAACACCAACTGTGCAAGAGTAATAATGGATCTAAATTTGCAGTGACTTTGCACTCATAGAGTTAGGTAAATGAACCTTTCAATACCTGGGACATTTTGAACTTAACTTCTTTTGCTTTGAGTGGTTTTAAAAATTATATTAATGTGAGAAAAAGTTATAGGTCAATGTTCTCTTTTCATTTTCAAAGAACTTTGAAAAATTTCCATTTGCTGTCATTTTCTGGAAAAGAGATTTGCTTGACATCAGTGGAACAAGTTCATAAGGATGTTCCTGGGTTTTATTAGTATTATTTCCCCAAATCTTAGATGAAAGATATGTCAATATCCACTCAATCTAGTAGAAAATAAAAAAACATTTCCTCGTTGTCTGAGGTGAATGAAAGTGTTTAGATTAAAAGATCTATTTTTAAGAGTTCTATTAACAAGGCAAGGCTTCGTGCTTTGTTCTGTAATTATGTTTAGAAAATCATTTTGTGATCGAATATTAATTTGTTAAGAGACTTGTGTGGCAAGGAGGTAGAGATTTTTATGAAGTAGAAGAATTTACATTAGATAGTCAGGACTTCCTTTTTAGGTTAAACTTCAGCAAGATGTCGATGTCAGGCTGTGTTCCATTTTGGATTCCCATTTGTTGTCCTTTTTTGCTTTCACGTGAAAATAATTTGACCCCTCGGTCTTTTATGCCCTTAGCCATGGATATTCCTATTTCCAAACCAGCACGTGAACAAATATCATCCCTAGTTTTACCCATACCTCAAGAAAACAGTTCTGTTTGGTTAATGGGAAAGAAAAAGTTTCCTGTGGAATTAGGTATACTAGGCATTTACTATCTGGAAGCATTTTGTTTGCTTTCAAGACTACATTTAGAAAATAACTTCACTGTCTGCTAATAACGTTCAGTCGTTTGTTTTGGTAAGTAAAGCGCCATCTCTTTCCTCCTGCCTAGTCTTCAGGTGATAATCTAGATCTAAAGAGAGTGAGCTCACAAGTTTCAGTTAGAGTGAATTTATTCCCTAACCCATCCTGAGAATACCAATGCTAACAAGTGTCTTGTGTTTTGTTTTTTTTTTCTTTTTTTCCTTCCCTTTCTTTTCTTTTCTCTTTTTTTAAATCAATGTGCTTTTTTCCTATGTGAATAATTATATGTCTAGAAACAGCCATGGAGTGATTTTGCTGTTCTGAGTGGGGGAAAGATTAATAGTGACATTTGGAAGGCAAGTACAATGTCGGCTTTTAGATCATTTAATGTTTTGTCCTTTTTGCATGGCTGTGGCTGTACCTTTTTCTTCTTTGTGACTGTCATGCATTCTGCAGGCGATGGAGTGACGGGGCTTCCTGCCCAGTTCACATACATGTTGCCTTTTTTTGACTTCAAGCTGATTGCCGCAGGTTGCCTGTTGTCTTGTAAGCAGCGGTGCTTGCACTAAGCCAGCATCCAGCAGCCCTTGCATGCCTTTTTCTGCCTATGCTCACGTGCACTCTCTGCCTCAGGCCGGGAGGACTTTTCTGCCCCAGACATTTGAAGCCATGTCATGAGCCCTCCCCCAGTCTTCATTAACAGGCATCTGTTTTCTTCCAGGATTTACATGCAGCCACGGTTAACCCAGACCCCAGTCTAAAAGAGTTTGAAGGAGCAACACTACGCTACGCATCTTTGAAACTCAGGTAGGCATTGAAAGGACTGGCCGTGATGTGTGACTTTGTGCCACCATTTTGCGATATAATTCTAAGTCTAGTTTTCTGTTTCTTTCTAGAAATGCCCCACATGCTGATGATGACGATTCTTGTAGTATCAACAGTGACCCAGAAGCCAAGGTTTGTAAGAAATATGCTTTCAGCAACCAGGTTATAGTCTTGCATCAAAGTAATGACTATGGATAATGGCTCAGTTTTTACAAACCATCAACCCAGAGCCTCGTATTATTATCCCTCAATCCTCTCTCTTTCCTAAGCTCCCCGACACTTAAAGTAAATCCTTAGGCCAAGACAGGTTTGGGAGGATTTCTGTAGTCACCACAACTCTGCCTGTATCTTGGTACATTAGTTCTTTGCATATTGTAATAAGTTAAAATTATCGTTTGATGGGATGGGTTTCAGAAGCCTTTAAAGCCTTGCAGAGCTGAACAGGTGGTACAAGACCCCTCACGCCCATCTTCTCTAGGGCAGCCTCACACTATGTAAGGTAAAACCTCTTGGCCATCCTTGTCATAAACAAAGGTATGATTTATGTTGGAAATTGAGAGTGAACCTTTGCTTTCAGACTTCCGGTGGTGTCCCAGCTGGGCCAGGGTTACAGGCATGCGATCATGCAGTTGCACAGAGCCCTGTGCTGAGAATCAGGACCCCAGGACTGAGGTTTAATGCCATGCAGTTGCCATCTTGAAATTCTTAATTTTATTTTTGACTTTGTGTTTTATTACGTGAAGCCCAGTGGGGCAGTGGAACATATACCAGGGCATTGGAGCGTTGGCTTCTACACAGTCCTGCCTCACCCTATTTTTCCACATGGCTCTTGGCTTCCTGTTCCCCTGCTCCGTGGCATCCAGGCCCTGCCAGACCTCCCCACCCCCGTCCCCACCCTGCGACTTTGGTAGCCTTCATCCCTGTGGGGGCCTAGCGGTGAGCATGGGGAAAGTTGGTGTTGGGCGTACAAGCTCCATAGTATCTTGGGAAGGGTCAGAGTTGTGGCCTGCCCAGCCAGGCTGATAGCACCAGTGGTGTCCAGGGGGTGACTCAGTGGAGGGTGAGGCCTGCCTACTCTCAATTTAGGTACCTCGCATGTCTTGGCACACAGATGTTGCAAAAAACTTGAGGGACACCTATCTGCTGTGGGTTGGGGCAGGTGAATCCATGAAAAAGGGGGATTCTGCCTCAATTTCCCCACCCCTGGCCAGGGCATGGTACATCTGTCTAGCAGCTGTTGGGAGGGGGAGCTCAGAATGATGATCTGTGGGGATGGGTAGGGATCCTCCCCGCCTGTGCAGGTCTGCACTCACCCTGCAAGTATCCCCATGCCTGAGGGAGTGTGGCATTAAATAACAGGTTAGAAACACCATAACAAGTCAATAAAGAGAATGCAGAAGAAAGGGGAAAGTTTCATGTTTTAATGCTTTTTACAGCATTTTTTTCCTGCTTTTTGAACAAAGGGCCCTGCATTTTCATTTTGCATATTCATTTTCATTTGCAAATTATGAAGCTGGTTCTATATATTTTTTCTGAGCCCAAGGGAAATCTGACCCTGTGAATAAACCAGCAAATACAGTCCCTTAGTACTAGTTATACCATGCAGGTTCAAAACCTTGACTCCTTCGCCAGAAACTGCCATATTTCCATTGGTTCTGTAAGACTCTCGGGGCTCACAGTTGAAATCTCTGCTGCTCCTAGTCATCTCAGCTCGATTCTCAGCAGAGCCCAATCGGATGAAGGCCAGTCTAGAGCTAGCAGTATTCTGAACAAGGCCTTGGGTTGTGGCTAGCATGCTAGCATTTAAAGATAAATTTTATGGCAAGGAAGGGATGCAATATAACAGGAAGGCGGGTTGTGAATAATTTGCTTTGCTACTAGGTGTTTTACAAGGGCGACCAGCATAGGCTGGAGGAGGAGGGGTGAGCGACAGCAGTATCTTTCTCTGAGGGCTGAGGCAGTGATGATGGGTAAAGCCACCGTGTGAAATTGACAGAGTGGGTGGGGAGGGTGATGCCTGGAGTGGAGATGGAATTGGTACGAGAAATAGGAGCACTGGCTGAAATATTACCTAAGTCAGTGCTTCGTCCCAGTTGCAGTGCTTACTGAATTCTTTATCTGCCATCATTCTGTGGCCAGCATGTCTCGTCCAATACCTATTATGAATTTGTTCGTGTTAGTAAGGAGGCTGAGCTTTGTCATAAGTTACTGACTGAAGTTGTACTTAGTTCTAAACTAAGTACATGTATTATTTACATGTCTGAGAAGACTTTTAAGACTAAAACTTTTTTTTAAAAGCCTTTCTTAAAAGGCTCAGAAAGTATAAGGGAATAATCACAGCATCTGTGTATTTACACTGAGGGTGAAAGGCAGGAATCCATGGAAGGGCAGCTCAGGATCCTGAAGGGACTTCTGCAAAGTACACCTGCTTCACTACCCGCCCATCCTGAATTCTGCAGGTCTCCCATGCTGCAGAAAGTCACCGTCACTGCTGGGGACCCCACGCATGTTGGGAGGAGAAAAGAGCTTCCAGACCCTACTTTATATGAATCACAATGTGCATAAGACGAAAGCATCCCAGTTCCTTATGGAATATAATGGGGTTTTTAGTGCTTCATTATAGAATAATTGTAATAATTAATATTTGAGTGCTAACTTTTTGCCAGGCATCATCCTAAAGACTATTTCTATTGACTTTCATTCTCACAAAAATTCAGTGAGCCAAGTATCATTATCTCCACATTGCAGATGAGGAAACAGAGGCATAGAAAATTCAACAGCTAATAAGTTGTAGAGTCAGAATTCGAATCCAGGCCATCTGGCTCCAGGGCCTATGCTCACTAGGCTATCTAGAGAAAAGTCTCACTTGAAGCTTCAAGCTGGTGCCACCAGCAAATAATGTGGTTGGTGTCCTCAACAATATTCCAAATATTTATAGATAAAGAGAAATTTGGATGTTTCCAGTTAGTATTTCATAGCATTACTCTTTAAAAACAAAGGACAGACACCCCAGCAAAACTCATTTCCAGCGAATCAGTGAAGGATTATGATGGTGCAGACTAGCTTTCTGTTCTGACTTGAGGCAGAGATAACTCTGGAAGTGGAATGGATACAGCTTTTTTCAGACCATCCCTCCGTAGTATAATATCAACTAGTCTTATGATAAAGGTTGTGCCCAGAATAGCAGGAAGCTGGGATTGGAGTAGAGATCATCTGCATTGCTGGTGACTGGCAGGTCTACACACTTTGGAACCACCATGCAGATGGTGAAGTTGACATCCCTTTGAGGAAATTGAGGTGTCTCGCTGTGCTTCTCTTCAGGTTGCGTGGTCACGCCACCCCCTACTGGAAGTGGGCCAAGGAAGCCCTGTGGGGAAAGCCAAGATGTTCTTTCAGCATTACAACTGTTTCAAAATCCTGTTGCCCTAAATGCAGTTATTTTTTACAAACTTTGAAGAAGTCAGTGAGTTTAGAAGTGACTTTAATGAAGCCACTCTGGAGGAGCCTCCCTATCACCACCACCCTCTCCTCCCCTCCCATCTGCTCTCGTAGTCACCCCTTGCCTATTTATTGCTGACTAAGGCACCCAAGAACGGACAAATGGCAAGACCAAGGATTTACCAGAGGTTCAAGCTCTGTAGAAGTAAATCCCTTCTTTAGGTAATTCTTTACATTCTCCAGGCTTCTGTGGACCAGGGACATGAGTGCCCCCCAAAATAAGCAGAAGTGTCCTTTATATATTAGATATTTAATTTCATGTACTGTGAAATTCTAAAGATAGTCCCTGAGGAATGATTACTAAAAAGATTATTAAAGAAAATGTCTTCCTTACTGCCTTATTTAGCAATTACATGCTAAAAAAATAAAAATCATTTTTAGCCCTTTGGGATGTGGATACTTCCAAATCTTCTCCAGCCGCTAGTGGGTCTGGGCATCTTGATAATCATCTGTTCAGTGAAACTTCTAAGTATCGGTGGCAGCATCAGATGGCCACATACACACACACACACACATTCTCTCTCCTCCCCCCCCCGCTCCACACAAAGAGCAATGTATTTTTATAACTCTGAAAATGTTTTTCGAGCCTATCTAATTTTTATACAATAAATATTTTATAGTTGATAGCAATATGTGTTTGTGCATAATTCTGAGCTCTTTATTTTAGTCTTTTATTTTAAAATAAATATAGATTTATAAAAGAGTAGCAAAGATTGAGCTCCCATATACCCTTCACCCAGCTTTCCCTAATAATAATGTCTTATAATGATAGTACAATTGTCAAAACTAAGAAGTTAATATTGATACCATGTTATTAAGTAAACTAAAGACTTAATTCACATTTTCCCATTTTTTCACTAGTATAGTTTTTCTGTTCCAGGATCCAATCTGGGATACTACATTGCATATAGTGAGCTCTTTAAAAATTATTTCACATATTCCATTCCACAGTTCTCAGATTTGTCATTCTGAATTCCATTATAATATTCCATCTAATTCATAGCACAATAATCTGTTTAGGCATCCAGTGGCCTTCGGAACAATTTCCAGTACTGTAGACCAGAGCTACAACTTTATAAAAATAGGTGACTTTTTTCCTTTTTAATTATTACTATTAAATTATTGCTTGCTAAAACTGATATTACCAGGTCAAAGGCTATCAGTATATGGCTTCTGTCACTTATTGCAAAATTGCTTTTCAGAAAGGCTACGGCAGCATGTAATTTCATCAGTAATAACCTAGAATATACCTCTTTGTCCACAGCCCACTTTACTCTAGGCTTTGTCATCTTTATTTATTCATTTTTCTTTTACTACTACTAGTTTAAAATTTCCCCTTCTTCAATTATCAAGACAGAAGATTTTTTACAAAACTCTGTGTTTCTTGGCTATTTTTTCCTCTTATTTTTCTATGCATTTTTTTTAATAAAAATTTTATTTTGGAGTAATTTTAGGTTTACAGAAAAGTTGCAAAGATAGTACAGAGAGTTCTCCTACCCTTCACCCAGCTTCTCTATATGTCTTTTCTTACATAACCATAGTATATTTGTCAAAACTAAAATTAACATTGGCACAAAACTTAACTAAATACTTTATTTTGATTTTATGTTTTTCT